GATATTCTTGACTCCTGAAATGTAATACAATTCCAAAATCTGTTATTTGTTTTCCCCCTTTTTAACTTTATACCACTTTGTTGATGCCACCAATTAAGCATTCACTATTTCGCTAGGCATTTGGAATGTAAGAATGAAGAACACACTTCACCTTTAAAGGTGTCTTCACCTTTAAAGGAGTTACAGCCTACTAGGGCAATCTGACTTCATTTTGATAAGCTTTACCATACAGACAATGCAATGCAATGGTTGGGCACATTGTTTGAGCACAGAATCCAGCACTAAGGATGTCAAGAAGGCTTCCTGGGAGAGATGATAGTGCAACCAAGTTTAAATAGCCCTGTATGAGGCTCTTACCTCTACCTCTGTTTGCCTCAGGCACTGTAGATATTCTTTAGTGTTTATGTTTTGTCTTCATTCCACCATGTGGCTATTTCATTACTCTCCCTGGCTGATTGTGGGTGTGGGGACCACAGCTCACCAGCTAGAGAAGCCAGGATGTGGAAAGGAGTTGAACTTGAGCATGAACACAGAGAACTGGACTTAGAAATCTGACAAAAAAGATTTCATTTCTTTAAGTGTCAAAATAATTTAGAGGAACAATAACTTGTCTTGCCTTGAGGCATAAAAGTAAAATAACAATATCAGATCTTACATAGCAATAAGAAATATGTAAAGAACAAATTGCGTATAATCAAAATTATGCTTTAAAATGTCATATATATGCTATATTATGATATAAACTATACAGCATATAGCACATATACTATATATGTACTATATATTCTAAAAATGGAACACTATATGTATATAGAATTGATAGCATGATACTATATATATACACACTATATATATATAGCCAAATACAGTACTATGTGTAGTACTCTGTGTGCCTAGATATACATTACTATGTGTCAATATATAGACAAGAAATAAACTCAGACTTCCCTTCCTTACATCCATTCCTTGAATAAATGGTTAGAAGAAATTAGCATATTATTTTATTTTCCCTTTCTTTCTTATACTGAATGCATTTAGCTGACTATCAGTAAATTAAACATGTGCAGGATGTGACTCCATTATAGAGAACCATGTTTCAAGGCAACTGTGGCCAGGAAAGACCTCCACTTTGCAATGATATTTAGCCCTTACAACTTCTGTATCCAAGATTCCTTATACTCTATTAAAAGTGTTTACCTGTTCCTATAGAGCTGACAGAGAATAATGTTCTGTTTACTTCCTTGTGAAGACAGAAAAATGAAAGAGCATTTATAGGAAAGAGTTGTGGGCCCAGGGGTCGACCTGAAACATTCTGCAAGCCTGGGCATATTCATCTGTACTGTCAAATACAGTGGCAACAAGCCACCTGTGGCTACCAAGCACTTGAAATGAAACTGCTGTGACTGAACAACTAAATTTTTAGTTTAACTTAATTGATTTAAATTTCAAGGGTCACATGTGGTTACTGGCTACCATATTGGACAGCACACCTCTAAGTCTTGAGTGAGACTAAAAGTTGGAAACACAAGGCCCACATGGGCCTCATTCAGACTTAAGACTTATATTTTTTGGTCCACATTAGAGTTAACAGTAAAGTGAGAGATTCCAAAATGAAAATATCTAAATTTTAAAACTCTCTTAAAAAGCTTTGGTAATACCGGAGCAGGATTCCTAGATGGTTTAACAATTGGCCAGTGTTGGGAAGCAGTTATGACCACATGATGATAGGCTCGGGGCTGAATGATGGACAGTTTCCAGCTGTTATTCAATATGTCTATATGCTCTTCACGCAGGCCTTCCTCTTTCAATGTTGTTATTTGCCTGGTCCCTGTTGGCATGTACCTATTTTACCCCACTCACTAAAACACGTGACCCCTTTAAATGACATCAGCATCTGTGACCAGGGATTCTCCTATTTGTGGTCTTTCATCTTAGCATAGCTGGTTGGACACTTCTAACCCCACAAAAAGTGGAAGAAAATCTTTCCCATTTAGAAAAAGTATTAATACTTCCTCAGGGTAACCTCTTTCAGCACTATCAGCAATTACAATGACACTGAACACTAATTAACCTTTAAATATAGGCTTTGGGGCTCAGGCAGGGAAATGCAAAAGAAAGAATAAAATTCTCAATTAAACCCTAAGACAAGTAATTTCTCTTGAGAATTTCTGAACTTTTGGATTTCTAACATGGCCAATTAAGAGTTCTTTTTACTTGATGGGATAAAAACAAAGACAAGATCACTCTTCAGACAAGTTGGCATCAGTCTACAAGGCAGGCTTTGGGCTTTCAAAGGACATTCTTTACAAGATTCTTTAACTTTATTCTGAATCCTTAGAAACATGTTCGGATTGCCTTTAACAAGTGGTTTCACATGGCTCCTTAATATTCCTCCTTGGCTGCCTCTCTATCTGCTTATATTTATGATTATATATGTTAAAAAATGCTTTCTCTGACTTCATGTAAAAAATTCCACCATATTCTTCCTTTTTATATCCTCGATGTCATTATATATTTATAGTATTTATTTGTGATTTTTGAAGGACAATAAAAAAACAATAAGCAAGCATATTTTATTCTGAACCATTTTAAGGAATAATGTGAAATATTACCTAGTTGAATATTAAAGTTAAAAGGTAGGGAAAAAATAAGGCCAAAAATAAAGATGTCATCTAACAAGATAAATTTGTCATTACAACCCACATTTTTCCATACCCCATTTACTGCAGTGGCACAATCTATTTCTTACTCAGATAACATGAATAACAAGGGGTTGTTTCTTGTTAAAACAAAGTCTGATATTTCTTAGAATGAAAAGAGCTTCCCTTGTGCTTTTCTAGGTCTAAATTTCTAGTGATCATAAACTTTTAGTTTAAGTGAAATTTTATATTGGTTAGAAATCTTAACTTTAGAAAATTTTTAAAGTTATAATCAAAGTATCTGCTCTATTTGGCTACAAACCAAAAATCATCAAACAATACCAAACATGTTAAATTTCTTCATTTATCAAACCTAAAACTAACAAGTCACACATCTCCTAGTCTCAGTTACAGATTTTGTTTAAATCGTAACATATAAATGCCAGGATGATATCCCAGGACGTAAAATAAAACAAAAATCACTATGCAAACAGTGAAACTTCTTTATCAACATTTTACATGTTATCAATATATTTAAATACAGACTCCATGGTATTACAACAGGCACCTAGTATATAGAGACATAATAACTACACAAGGTTATTTTTGGATATCTAAGCTCAAAATATTTGGTTATGTGATAAAAATATACAAACATAATTAATCTATTCATTTAGAAATACATTCTTATATGACGAAATCTCGTATCTTGACAACTTTTCAGCTGAACACATTTATCACCAAATTATTCATAAGATAAACACCAGGAAATACAACTTTCCTGACAACAGAAAAAGAGCCCACACATGAGTCATTCACATGGCTGCGTTATCATATTTACAGCTATGTCCATGAGAATAATCCTTCATTTCAGGGAGAAACAAACAGATGCATTTAAAAGGTGTTAGAATGCCATACAAAAATGCTGGAAAAAAATATTTCCAGGATAATGTCTTGTTAAGCTGATCTGTTCAACTTTCCCCGTAAGAAGAAAATATTTCCAGATGTGGCATATGCTTATGTCTGATTAATGGAACTAGTTCATAAAACAGTTCCTTGCTTTTTTAAATGATTTTATTAAATAACTTCTTATTTCTATAGAAAGAGGTAGAGGCAGAGAAAAACTTTTTCTCATCTTTGCCAACTCTAATCAGGAACCTGGAATTAAAATGCTTATTTTGTTGAAGTATACAATAGGGCCTCAATAAATATGTTGTTAAATATTGTTGAAAGAGACTATCTTGATTACTTCCAGATGCAAAAATACAAAAACCTACCTTCTACCCCAATCCTCACCCAATTTACCATGACTATTGGCTTCAATTATTTATATAGTTTAAGAGAACAACAGAGGTTCAATAAGATCTAAATTACAACTCTAAGCATTTAAAATTTTATTAATACTGGCTGAAGTTTGCTTATTCTGCAGATTATAGAAAAGGTTTTTCAAGCAAACTAACAGTGTAAATGGGGTTTTCGTAGTAGATGTTCACATTGCATGAAAGAGTGTGTTGTTTTACACCTTATCTTAGCCAAAAGGCCGAGAAGCGATAAGAGAGTGTTGTTTTAAAGGTGTCTTGAATACTTTCAACCACTTATAAGAATGCAGCATGTAATTTATAAATAATTCATCTCTTCATGAAAGCGGGTCTCACAAGCACTCCTAAGAGTAAAAATGATTAGTCCTGGGTTATTTAATAATACAAATACCCATCTGATCCAAATAATCCATCATCATCCCCAAAATATCAATATTTTTTTTAAGGTGGTGGGAGTATGGATTTTTTTTTCTTTTTTCCTTGTACCTTTTCATGATGTTTGAAAGTTTTCAGTGAAGAGGAATTGTTTATATAATCTTAAAAATATAGACTTTAACTTGATATACATGTAACAAATGAAATATGTTTTCTCTTCAAGAATCATTAAAATGACTTTGGTAAGAATGTGTTTTATTCTTCCATATTTATTGAATCTCCAAGCACAAATCCATTAAAATGGTAAATGAACAAAAGGTGGGACACAGAAGTATTTGTTTAACTATGATTTCAAATTAACTTTAAAGCACAATTTCATCCCCACAATAAATGTAAATCCAAGTTTATAAATCAAATTGCACTAAAAATCAATGAAAAGACATTACTTACTTTAGGGATTCTGCCATGATCAATAACTAATCAAATATATGCTATATATAGATTTAAATCTTCATATATTGAATCTGTTGAATATATCATACAACTATAGCTTCATATATTTTTTTCTTACTGATGGCATAAATATACCAGAGCAAAAAAAGTTCACAATCTCTACATAAATGTGTTTAGGTTTTTTTTATTTGAATTTTCAAACTTTTCACTGTACCTGTAATGAGGTGACGGGTTGCCTCTTGCTTCACAATTTAAAGTTATTTTTTCATCTTCTGAACCAACAGGGAAAATACTATTGCTGGGTTCTTTGACAAACACAGGGCCTTGTAAGAGAAGCTCACCTATATGGGGGAGAGACATCCAAAAAATAATAATCAGTAAAAGGTATTGTAAAAAGTTACATTCCAGTATTGAAGAAAATAAGCAACTAGTAAAAATCTAGTACTGTGCCTACAAAGCAAAATGCTCTGTAGACATTGTTTTGTTAAAGGGAATCAATTCACCCACTCAACAGCGCAGTACCAACTCTATGAGAACTAGCATTGGTATGAAAAATATTGCCTTATTAAGATCACTTCATACTGCAGTAATTACTTTTTATAACAAACTACATCTAAGTGTAGACTGATGAATACACTAGTAAGTCTTTTTGGTCATAGCCTCTTTGCCAAACTAAAGCTGAATTCAAAACTAATTGAACACCTAAGTAATTTCATAAAATCTGCTTGGCATGCAAATCTTAAGCTTGACAATGCTATTTTGCCATTTGGAATGAAAAGCACTCAATATTTGGTGGGATGCCCATTTTATTACTAGCAAATTGAAGAGGAAGATACAGCACTGAACAAGTACCTTTTTAAAGATGTTTCTACTTTGGCTAAGAGAACTTGAACATGCTCTGAGGAGAATTTCCACATACAGACAAAAAATCTCTCTATTGTACTATGAGTTTACAAGTTTACAAAAGAATAAGATAATGCCACCCACACTTATGGGACTGCAGTTGTATAATCATTGCCATAGCATTTCTGAAAACAAATAAATTGGCCCCCCGAAAAAAAAGCTCTTTACTTTCCTATTTTGCTTGGAATGCTCAGCAAAATTACAGAGGAGTTTCTATTAACTCAGAGAATGAATAAACAGACTAAGAGACAAAGAATCCATGAAAAGTCAGACAAAACGAGATCAAAAAGCAGCAAAAAAGGCCCCAAAACAATGAACTGGCATTTTAGCTACTTCAAATAGCAGTTAGCATTAAAAAAAAATTTACCATAAGTATAACAACAATAAATAACAATATGATTAAAATAATCATTGAAATGATAAAAATAGCAGCTGCTAAAGCTGAAATTTTCAAGTAAATCCTATGTGCCCAAATGTGTTCATTACTCCTCAGAATATTCTGTGAGGTAAATGCCATAATTATTCCCAACAGAAGACAAATACTGCGCCTAAAAGTGGTTAGGTGGCATGAGCAAGTTCACACAGCACTGCAGAATGTAAAACACACACTCTAGAATAATGGATTCCACAGTCCATGCAGGGATATTCTCTCACCCCTTCTGTAAGGAATTTGGCCGTACCCTAGGTCTGATCTTTGTCCTCAGCTTCTAGGAGGTAATCTACGCCATAGCTGATTGAAATGTCTGCTTAGGATGGGGACTGGCCACACTAGATCTTAGGGTGGGGCCTGAAATGTCTGCTTAGGATGGGGACTGGCCACACTAGATCTTAGGGTGGGGCCAGCCACACCCAATAGTCTTGGGTTGGAAACTGGCCACATCAGACAGACTAACCATGTGATTAAAGGTGAGAGATTTGGGTCATGTGGTATCAGATGATGTGGAGACTCAGCTCAACCACATGTGCAACCAGTCAGTCACACCTACATAATGAAGTCTCAACAAATAACTCTAGACACCGAGGCTCAACGAGTTCCCCTCGTTAGCTCTCATACTCCTTGAGTATTGTCACACATCGATACCGGAAGGGTCAGATGTCCTGTGGACAATAAAAGCTGTGCATTTGAAACCTTCCAGACTCCGCCCTATGTGTGTCTTCCTCTAGCTGAGTTTAGTATGGATCCTTTCCCTGTAAATAACATAACTGTGAGTATAACACTTTTCAGCAACGTTTGTAAGTCCTTTTAGCAAATTATCAAAAATGAGGATAATTTGGAAACTTCCTGAACTCAAAGACTGTCAGAAGTGAGGGCAAGTTCACAGCTCAGCTGACTCGGGGCAACTTTGCACCACAACATCACCACACAATTAGCCCTTACTAATCCCCACCATCCTTTAAGAAAGCAGCTTGCTATCCCCTTTAGTCCCTGATCTTTACTTTTATCTATTGGGGAAATTGCCAAAGGAAAAAAAAAAAAAAAAAAGCTTCCATTTCCCTTTTTAGGAAAGGGCAACTTCCAGAAGAAACAGATTTTAAAATTGCTACTAACACCCCTAATTTAAAAGAGGTAATATTGTTATTTTCTTCATTTTGCCCCTTAACCAATTCACTGAATAGAAATAAGTAAAAACAAAAATGACAGTCTGTTCTATTAATTGAATTTATTGTCCTACAAAGTCAAAAATATTTATGATGTCTCTTTAGAAATACTTGCAAATATAGTGAATATTTCCTAACATTTTTCTGGTGTAATAGCTTCTGATTTACTTCTGATAACATATATTTAATTATTTATGAGATGGGATAGCATCATTTTTTCTGACAAATTCTGATGTATTTATAGCTTGAAACCAATAATGCATTAACATAATGGTATAAATTTGGAAATAACAGGAAAGTTGGGGAGATAAACCAAAAGAAGAAAGGTTAGTAGAGATAAGAAAGCAGTGGTTTAAACGAAAAAGGCAAAGAGAAGTGTTCAAAAAATTTCCTTCAAGTGGTCACAATAAAAACTCAATTGCCCATCCCATCATCATCTAATAAAAGTCACGTCCCAAATGATAGTACTTGTCTTCTCCAGAGGCCACTATTAATTTTAAATAAAAATGTTAAACTACTAGGAGCATTTTCTTCTGATATCCTTTTGAGAGAAGGATAATAACTGCTAATTTGCTAACATTCATTGAACTAGGCACCATGAGCCATGTGCCAGGCACACGAAGCAGCTATTTACATGCTTTGCTTCTCCTATCTCAAGCTCCCCTAGCTCCAGCTCCTGATCTCTGAGGTCTAGCCACACTGCTCTTGTTCCTGCTTCTCAGACATGCTGAGCTTCGTGTCACTTCTGGGCTCACACACTTGTTCTTCTTGTGTTCTGGTTTCTTTTTGTCATTCAGAATTTAGCATAAATGTCACCTTCTCGGCTTAAATGCAACCATGTGCATTCCCCCCCCATCTAAAGTCATTACACACCCTTCATTTCCACCAGTCACAGATAATCAAAGCACATCTCACAACCTCACGAGATCTCCCTACATAAACACTACAGATGTTTATGTATGTGTTTGGTATTTATTTGTATTGAATTCATTGCTGTATCCTCAACTCCTAGAACATGGAAGATATTCAATATCGGTCTGTAGAATGAATAAGATGAATGAAACAATCCTCATAATAACTCCATATGAGGCAGATACTATTTTACAGTTAGTGATTGATAAAGCTAAGATTTTAATTTCAGAGCTCATCTTCTCACCTTGCACATGGTTTGGCCTCCCCAGAAGAAGTGAGGCCCAGAGAGGTTAAATGACTGACCATAGTAACGGTTTCCTGGTCAGACCTGGTCAACCCCAGTCCTCACATTCTTGGTTTGTTTCTCTTTCCAGGGAGCCACACTGTTCTCAATATGGTCAGAGGTGAAAATTAACCAACAGCCTGCTTTTTCAACTTCAGTATTTCCTGATGGCGCTGGAGTTAACGGCCTATGAGGCACATATCTGCCATCTCTGAAATTTAAGGCTCCTAAAGGCTTTCAGCCCATCAGCAGTCATTTGGGAGCCTCCAACACCTCTTAAAAAGTAAGTACAAAATAAGAATCAAACATGACAGGTCAGTGCATGCTTCACACTCAGAAAAGGGACAAGACCACTCAATCTTGCTTCACGGGAATGAAATAGGTGATGAGAGATGCTGGGGTTTCATGTTCTAGTCTCTTGCCAGCAATATAAACTTAAAAGGAATAGATTCTGAAGTCTCTGCTAATCTAAAAGAAATTATCCAACATTTTCTTCAAAACGAATTTGATCCTCAAAAAGACAGAACCTTGACTATTCACACAACTATTCATAACCAGTTAAAAGCACCCAGTCTGAAAACAGAAGGGGGCCCCTTGCCTAATTAATGAATTCAATGTAACATTGAGATTGATGTTAAAGTTTACTTTTTGTGACAGGGGCATTTTTTTGATGTGCTAGCCTGGCTCCAAAGCTCCATTTTAAATATACAACCTAAAATAAAAGGCATATCACATTTCTGAACAGGACTAACAGGTCCAAAAATCCAATCCTAAGGTGTTATTTTTTCCCCCAAACACCTACAGGCAACAAGGAATAACTGCCTTTGAATGTATGTACAAGCTTTATGAGCTCCTAAGGTAATGTCACATAAAAGATCAAACCGCAGACGATCAATTCTAATGGTCATACTCTATACAATTTTTATGAAGACTGACAAAGAAAAATAGAGAAGGGATTCTGGGCAAGTTGCATTACTCTACTAAAAGAAATGAAATTCCTAGAAGACAATGATGGTATCTGAAATTCCTAGGGAAAAGGAAAGCATATCCTATTTTTCCTTGCTGATTTATGTCATATCTACATGGAAAACAAAAACCAGCAGTGCATTTCAAAACACAGGGTAAATCACAACAGGGTTTAAGGGTAGGCAACGCCATTAAAGACAGAATTTAAGAGGACGTGGATTTAGAAAGGAATATTCCATGCACTTACAAAGCATCAAACCCAAACAGAATGAGTTCTAGCCTGGGTCAAAGAAAGTAAAATAATATGCCGCCAGTGAAATAAGATCTATATTCTAGGCCCTACTATTCTTCAGGAAAAAAACTTTTAAAAGATGGAAATTTTTTTTAGAAATGGGATATCTTCTATTTTGGCAATGGTAGTTTAAAGCTGGAAAATGCCAAAGAAACAAGACCAAAATAAAATTCCATTTATATGCTTCCAATGTCAGAGGAAGATAAAGTATTCAATCTCAGAATATTTCATTTCTTTAACAAATATGTGAATGCCAGACATGTGCCACATGTGAAAAACTGGCTGTGGCAGATGCTGCTGGTAGTCCACTCAACAGCTATCGCCTGTCCTTCTTCCCAACCCTTAGAGTCTGCCTTTCACTGTGGAGAATGAAAGCTCCAGAGATA